TGGGTTAGATAGCATTGCGTACAAGTTAAATATGTAAAATTAAATTAAGTGGTTGAAGAAAATTGTCTCGTTATACAGCTAAAAATTAAAAAAATATATATAACTCTGAAGCAGAGAATTGCTTATTGACGGCTTCACATGCACAGAAGCTTTCTCGTTATGACAATCATATACTCTGCTCCTTTATTAAAAAAGAAAAAGTTGCACAAATAATGTAGAGCAGAGATTCAAAGAAGGGTAATAAGAATGAAAATGAGGAGAGCAGCAACCAGAATGGCCAACGAGATGAGAAACAGCTGCCACAGAACTTAATTGGGGACTGGCCCAACCCAGCAAACCCGTCACTCCAACGGCCAGGATGTTGTCAAGGTCGGGGTCCAGCAGATCACCCGTCCTGATATTAAATGCGGCCGCCGATCCTTCTTCGAATCAAAATTGCCACCGTCACCGTTGACGAACCCATTGGGCCACTCCTTCTCGCCGGAATCTTTGATTAGGTCATCGCTGTTCCCATTTTGAGCAAGCAATGCTAATCTAGAAGGGGATCTGAGAATTCGAAATTGGGTTTTGAGAAACGGTGAAGAAGAGAGGCGAGGAAGAAGGGAAGCGTAAGTGAAGGTGGAAATGTCTATTTACATAAATATCCTCCTCGACTCCTCTCCTGTTTTTTTTTTTTTGGGCCTAACAAAACTGCTCGTAAGCAAATGGGGTTGAATTTGGGTAACTAACACGAAAGCCCGTTAAATACCATCCCATCGGACCAATCCCCCCAGGCCTATTTTTAGGCTAAGCCCAACTCTGAAATTGACATAGAGGTGGGTCTGCCATGGCTAGCACAAAGGTCTCTAGGCTTTTCAGGCCCAAACTAAAAATGCAATATTGCACCAATGCACTCCCCACTCCGATTATTAATGTTAAAAAGATGATAATTTTGTTTTTCACTCCACTTTTTTCTTAAAAGATTTTTACTCAAAATTTTATAATTAAAACAATTATAAATTGGGGTGGAGGAACGGAATCACAATTTAGAACTAACTCTTAGGCTTAAATGTCTCAAGATAATGCCTATTAAAAGCACCGATTTTACCATCATATCAATCAAGTGATCGGTAATCACATGTTTTCTTGATGTAGCAACAATACAATCAAAATTCAGGTCATTCACTTAATGACTAAAAGAGTTATGAAAAATTATGTGCATGCGTTGAAAAAGAATTCATGCCCACCCACCCAAATAAAAATAATAATAATAAAAAAGAGGAAAAAGCAAGAAAATTTTGGTTTGATATTTTTCCCCAAGCAGTGATATGAGTTTAATTGGGTGAAGAG